CAATTTTTAAAATATATTTAAAATTTAATATTTAAATATAGAAATTATGTAATTAATTTAAAATTTCAATTTATGTTGAATTTGTATTAATAATAAATTAATTAGAAAAGCAAATTTTGTATAGTAATTATATCTAAAAAATAATTTTTAAAATATATAGTATTTATATCTAAAAAATGGTAATAATTTTAAAATAAATAAACAAAAGATATTTTAATTTTTATAGTTATCTAAAATCCTTAATTAATAATAATGATTATTTTTTTTAAATAGAGTTCAAAATTTATAATTCCGTCTAGACATGAGTTCGTTTGTGTTTACCCGGTCCCAAGTCCAGGTAAATGAGGAGGGTTTTGCGATAGGTGACAACCAACAAACTCAAAACTATGTCATATCTCACATGCAATGGATTCAAAGCATATAAACGTTGTGGCGTCATCTACTTACGGCGTGCTGCATCAAAGCCCGAGTGTAGTGAAAAATAGGTAAGGGTGTAGGGCTTCCCGCGAATGCGACGCACTATATCGGTGCCCGGATGTGATGCTAAATAGGTAAGGGTTCCCACATCATGGACGAGTGTGGATAAAGAAGTTAGTTCAGAGTGTCGATGTTACTAAAAGTCTAAGTATGGTAGATAAGAGGCAGACTTATAAGAAGAGAAGTAAGAAAACCTCGGTGGAACGGAAAGTTAGGGCAGGCACTTGGAATATCGGAACGTTTACGGGGAAGTTGATGGAACCTGTAGACACAATGAGTAGAAAGAGAATGAACATTGCTTGCATCCAGAAGACTAAATGGGTATGAGAAAAAAAGTAAGGAGATTGGTAATGCCAGTTTTAGATTGTGGTATTCGGGTCAAGAACGGAATAGGAAAGGGGTGTGCATTATCTTAGATAGGTCTTTGAAGTTGTCGATGGTTGCAGTAAAACAAGTAGGTGATAAGGTCATCCTAGTGAAATTAATTATAAAAGGAGAAGCTATCAACGTGATTAGCGCGTATGTCCCGCAAATAAGATTAGATAGTGAGTGTAAAGAGAAGTTTTTAGAGGACATGGATGACCTTTTGCAAATTAGTGTACCGCCCGAAGAGTCTATTTTTATCGATGGAGATTTAAATGGACATGTCGAAAATGATCGATAAAGATATGAAATGGTACATGGTGGGTTTGGCTATGGGAGTAGGAACGAAGAAGGAAAAGTATCCTAGATTTTGTCATGTCTTATGACCTCATATTGGCAAATACCCACTTTCAGAAAAGGGAATCACATCGAGTGACCTTTACGAGTGGGCAAAACCGTAGTCAAATCGACTTTCTCCTTACAAGGAAGTCGAATCGTACTATATGTAAAGATTGTAAAGATATTCCGGACGAAGCTCTAACTAGTCAACATAGGTTGTTAGTATTAGATGTCAAGATCATGAAAAAGACTATCTGTCCAAGGAAGAAGGATATACCTAGAATTAGGTGATGGGATCTACAAGGTCAAAATGCGAGCTATTCGAGAAAGAGATGTTAAAATTGAAGGTGTGAGGCGATGATAAGGAAGCCAATAAAATGTGGTTAGATATATCATCTAACATTAAGAGTATTGCTAGAGATGTAATTGGGAAATCAAAAGGGTATGGACCACCAATAAAGGAGAAGTGGTGTTGGAACAAAGAAGGGCAAAAAGCTTTAAGGACCAAGAGGGAGTGGTATAGGAAATTGCCTAAATGTAATTCAAATGAGGCATATGAACAATATAAGTTGGTTAAGAATGAGGCAAAGAAAGTCGATAGCCAAGCAAGAGTAAAGGCTTTTGAAAGGATGTATGAGAGACTCGGGACAAAGAAATGAAAAAACGATATATATATATATATATATATATAGGATAGCTAGTGCGAGAGAAGGAGAACCAGAGACTTGAGTGTCATCAGATGTATTAAGGATAAGGAAGGTAATACTCTAGTTAAAGACGACGACATCAAAGAGAGATGGAAAAGTTATTTTGATGTTGTGTACAACTAAATTAGGGATACAAACCACATAGAACAAGAGACTATTACTAGGGAGAGAAATGTGAGTTATACTAGGAGGATTAGATGTGTAGAGGTGAGAGATTCACTAAAGAAGATGAAAATAGGCAAAACATGTGGTCCTGTTGATATCCCTATCAAGGTATGGAAGTGCTTAGGAGAAGTGAGAATAATTTGGCTTACAAGATTATTTAATAAAATCTTAGTGTCGAAGAAGATGCCAAATGAATGGAGACAAAACACTTTAGTCTCCATCTTTGAAAATAAGGGAGATATCCAGAGTTGCACAAATTATAGAGGAAGCAAACTCATGAGTCATACCATGAAGTTGTGGAAAAGGATTTTGGAGCGACGTTTACATAGCGACATATCTCTTTCCGTAAATCAATTTGGTTTTATATCCGAAAGGTCTACCATGGAAGCAATCTTTCTCATCCGTAACTTGATGGAGAAGTTTCGATATATGAAGAAAGATTTGCACATGGTATTTATCGATCTCGAAAAAGCTTATGATCGAGTACCAAGAGAGGTTTTATGGTGAGTGTTAGAGCGTAGAGGAGTATCAGTGAGATACATACAAGTGTTGAAGGATATGTATGAAGGTGCGACCACTACTGTCCGAACAGGAGGGGGTAACACACGAGATTTTTCCATCTCGATAGGGTTGCGCCAAGGGTCCGCTCTAAGCCTGTACTTCTTCGTATTAGTCATGGACGAATTGATTAGAAATATACAGAAAGAAGTACCGTGGTGCATGATGTTCGCAAACGATATCGGCTAGTAGATGAGTCTAGAGAAGGAATAAATGAAGAATTAGAGTTATGGATGAGTACATTAGAGCCTAAGAGTTTTAGATTTAGTAGAACGAAAATCGAGTATATGCATTGTGATTTTAGTGGGAGGGATTCTAGTGATGTAGAAGTTAGTTTGGAAGAAGGATCAGTTCCTCAAAACTCGCATTTTAAATATCTTGGATCAATCCTTAAAAAATATGGGGATTGCGATGAAGATGTTACTCACATGATAAAAGCGAGATGGATAAAATGAAGACAAACAATAGGGGTTCTTTGCGAACATAAGGTTTTTTTATGGTTGAAAGAAAAATTCTACCGTACCACTATAAGACCCGCATTGATGTATGGTAGCGAATATTGGGCGATGAAAGAACAATATATGTCTAAAATGAGTATGGTTGAGATGAGGATGTTGAGATGTATGTGCGGACACACAAGGATAGATAGAATAGGAATGAGACTATTAGAGAGAAAATATGTATAATAAGTATAGAAGAGAAATTAAGAGAGAGACGTTTAAGATGGTTTGAACATGTACAACGTAGGTCGATGGATATATCGGTTAGAAAAATAGAGAGTATAGGAAAGTGGGTGAAGAGAAAAGAAAGGGGTAAACCTAGGCTTATTTGAGAACATGTAATTAGGAACGATTTGGAATTGTTACAAATTCTGAAAGAACTGATGCAAAATCGAAATGAGTGAAAACAAAGAATACATGCGACTGATCCCAAATAAACTTTGGACTATGGCGATGTTGATGTTGACGAAGAATTCAAAATTTATGGAGTCCATTCGGTCACACCGTTTGTATTTGTTAAAAGACGATAATATATATATGTGTGTGTCTACTATCGTGTAAATCAACCGTTCCAACTCGCAATCGTATGCAATAAGAATTTACCAATGAGTCGATGTAATAACTTATAACCAGTTGCGTACCCGACTGACTAAAAACATCTATAATTGCAATCACAAATCTAACAAACGAACCGTATCGAACTTTCTCCTCATCGATCTGATCCAGTTCTGGTGTTTGGGCCTAAATTTGGGCCTACACTTCTTATTGGGCCCAAAGAAGAATGTGTTATTTTCCAGTTTTACCCCTCTGAGGGAAATCAACAGATTCTCACGAAATAGTTTTCGTTCCTGCATCAATCGAGGTCGACGAAAATGGCGAGACGGCGGTTCAAGATTCTCTCCCTGCCGCTGTTGGGATTTTCCAGGTTCTCTCCACTTTCCGTTCCTGTGTGCGTTTCCTGATTCATTGTTTTGATATGATCGTAGCGAGGTTCATGCCGAATTAGGCATGTTATTGAGAAATGCCGTTTGTTTTATGGTCTCTCGTATCAACTTTGAGACTGTATGTGTAAGGGGTTTTGGATTTCGTTGTGTGATCAGTTTACGCTTCCCATTTGGATCTAGTTCTCGGTTCCTGATTTTGGTGGATTGCAAGTGCATTTGAATGATTTGAAAGTGTAGTCTGCTACATGAGTTGGATTTTGACATGCTGTTATGGAAGAAGAAGAAGAAGTATATTGTTAACGGCTTAGAAACCTACTAGGGTTAGAGAGGTGGAGAGAAAATGGTCCTCCTAGAGGTGAAAGACTTGGAATGATCTTGTTTTGATTTTGAATAAGGATCAGAAACTAGGAGTAGGAGTAGGAGTATCGATGTAAGCTGTTTGTGTTCCATTTGTCGATGAATCCGATCCGATGGACATGGTTGAGTCGTGCTTGCCTCAAGTGGCGGATAGCTTTGTTTATTTTTCTTTTTCTTTTTTTTTCTGGAACAAGCGGCGAAACATTGTGTTCTTACTTTAAGATTACATGAACAGTACAAAATCTAGAAGATTTTAGTTGTTTTTTCATTTATGGATCACTCGGACTCAGAAATCTGATAAAAAAATGATTAATTCGTCTTGGAAGTATAGAAACTTGGATTGCTTAGGTTTGCCTTCAATGTTTTGAAGATTTTTTACGCCCTGCTGAATATCAATGGAAACGGATTCTTTATCAAGTTTTTTTAGCTTCTTTGTGGGAAACACTAGCTTTCAATTAATTCGTCTGGATAACACTGTTGTTCTTATCCTTTCTTTGATTGTTAAGTGATTGTATGTGTTGTTATTCGGACTTATATGGTAACATTTAGGTATGTGAAGATTCGTAGTTTTAGAATGGGAATCGTTTTCGTGAAACACAACAGGATTTATATTTCATTAACACGTGATGAAATTGAGCATGATGAAAATTACATAAATCCCACACTGAATATAAAAGACAACAGGTTCTTAGAAATGATAACAGCCCTCTTTGATAGATTTGGTCTCAGCATTTCACCTCGATCGGAATCAGATGGAGTTGAAATGTTATGTGGCCTGCTTCTGATAGATTTCTCTGTCAAATGCACTTGAAAGTGAGACCAGAGCCCGCTAATTTTTCATCCATTAATTTCGATAGTCTCTCTGCCTGCGAAGGGCGAAGATAGTTCCTCCAGTCAGATACTTGACCTTTCCTAAACAAGAACCTATTCTCGAAGTTCTTGATCGATTTGCTGGATTTGTTCACTTCTAGGCTCTTCAGACTGTCAAAGCTACACAGCTTTGCAATTCTCTGTATAACACCTTGTTGTTGTTCTTCTTTCGAGAAAGGGAACCCCAAGAAGTTGGCCAGCTTGGTCAAGTTTGACACTATGTCTTCTTTCATGTCCTCATATTGCAAGAACAACATTCTGTCCGGTCGCTCCAAGCTCTCTTTCCAGTATCCCAACATATGCTCCCAGAAGGGGCCAAACCCGATGACTCCCCTGCAGTACAAATCAAACCCTTCATCCAGCGAAACCGGGCTCATAGATTCAGATTTTATGTTGTTGACGTAGTGCCACGATGACACAAATGTGTCAAATGGGTTCCGACATAGGTACACGACTTTAACATTGGAGCTCTTGATTGAATCTTTCAGGGAACCGAAAGGAACGTGGGTGGCAAAAGTTCTCGGGCTCGGGATATGGGAGAGGTCAGGGATATCAGAGTCGTTTGCATAAAGCTTGTACTCAAAGAAAGGCACAAGATCATGAGGATTTGAAGTGAGAAGAGGGTGATCACTCGATGAAACGGGGAATTGGTGACGGTTAACAAGAGCGAATGTCAAAGCCTTTAACCAGGTGGTTCCCGATTTAGGTATGGTGGCGAGGATGATATCGTTGTTAACCGATTTGAAATGTTTTTGAAAGGAGATGATAGATTGAATCTCCTTGGCTTGGCACCAAAACCCTTGGTACTGGTAAAGGTAACGAGTTCTCCATCCCTTCTCTCTGGGAAGAGAATCCAACAGATCTCTGCACTCATAGCTCAACCCTTTTTCTTCTTCTTCTTCTTCTCCTTCTCCGCATCTATGTTTCTCTTTGCCCTCTCGGGCCCTGTTTTCTTTCAGAAGCTCGATCCTTTGGCAACTCACGGAAGCAGGGATCGCCATCGGGATCACCTTCATGCTAGAAGCCGCCATTGACTCCAGTATGCAATTTTTCTTCTTTTTTTGTTTGTTTGTTTGTTTGTTTGTTTGTTTGTTCTGGTTTTTGGTTCAGCGGCGGGTATAGCTTGATTATATATAAATATATATTGCATGGGACATGAAAGACTGGAACTGGGTTTTTTTTGCGCACGTGAAGAATGGCATTTTTAAACAGAGAGTATGGCCCACTTGATTTCTTCTCGAGAGTATCGGCATTTTTCTTTTTCTCTTTTGGTTTTGCTCTCTCTGTGTGTTTTCTTGTGGAGTTAGTTGTAAATGGTTGGTGGTTGAATAGTGTATTAAACCTTTTCTTTATATCTTATGTTTTATTCTCCCATATCCTTCCTCCATTTGTCAGTCGGATTTCTTTGCCATGTGTTGAACTAAGGTTTTATGTTTCCGGTCTGGTCCGGTTTTCTCGGTTTCGATTCAGATATAGCTTGTTCAGTTCCTGAGAATCGAACCCGAATTGGTTTGGATTTCGGTTTGGTTCAGGTTAAAACCATATGGAAAAACTGAAACTGAACTAAGTTATGTTCCCCTGGGCTCATTTCTGAATCACTCTTTTTTTTTTTTTGGGGGGGGGGGGGAAAAATCCCTCCTTTTTTGTTATTGAATAATGTTGTTTTTTTTT